CCTCAATAGTGCCGAACCGGCACTATTGAGGGCGCTTTCTGTGTCCAGATATTTTACCGGCACTATACCCGGCATCGGCACTATTCAATCGGCACTATAGCGGGACCAGTACTGTATATTTAATTGCGGTTCAAATATATCATTGTTTGTAGGCGTAATGATTACGTGCTCTCTTTTTCACACACACACGTTTCCGCATACCGTTTTTTGTGTTCGTGATGTTTTAGTGGGAAGACTGCGAAACCCGTACCCAACACGTGCAAATAGAAACATAACCTCGACAGCAGTTCGTGCCTGTTTCTGTGAGATGCGAAATAGGTGGCATCATCTGCTCACCCTCTGTACCTTGCAAGCGTGGACGCCATGACTCTCAACCTGGTGGGCGTTGTCAGAGCTATCCGCTAGCCATGGTATTTTTGGTACGTTTGTCTGATGGTCGTTGGAGCGAGCGCATTTTTACAGACACTTCACTCAACGACGCGTATGCTACATGTTTCGTTGCTTCCTCGAACTCATGCGCTTTTCAGGAACGTGCAGCTGCCTGAAGCACCGACGACAGCAGCCGCAGCGACGCCCGTCGGCGACACCATGTTTCCTTGAGAGTCAGAGGAGTGGACAGACGGTTTCGGTGGGCGTCTCGACGGCACGCCGGCTCAGGGCAAGGGCAAGGGCAAGAGGAAAAGAGAGCCGCTGGAACTGGAGCCACCGACCTTCCCCATGAAGTTTGGTGGTGGCCAGAAACGCAAGCAGTACGATTTGGAATTCAAAGTAAACGCCAATAAGTACGCGACCATGCAAAGCCCGGGGGCGCAGGTGCCTAATGGAATCATCGGTGTGCCGTATGCGCAACGAGTGCTTGGGATTCGCGAGAAGATCACACTCGAGGATGAAAGACAGAAGGGAATACGAGAAGCAGCTGGAAAAGGCAGACCAGCCCGGAGCGTGAAGTCGTTCAACACGGGGGGCGTTCGGTCAAACGCGGAGGCCGAAATCTAACTTCTCGACTGGATCAACGATCTCCGTTCGGAAGCCATCTCTTGCCCGCGTCTCTACAAGGACGATCAAGAACAAGGCGGTATCGCTTACCTCGCTCTGGGTCGGCCCGACGCCGGCAGCGAACGACCCGGAGGGCAGAAGAAAGTACCGCAACAAGCAGACTCACTGGTGCAGGAGGTTTCTCAAGAAGAACCGGTTGTTTTTCCGGGCGGTTACCAGGCAAGGCCAAAAAATCCCTTCCGGATGGCCTGCGATTGCCATGCAAGCCGTCAAGGAATGGAGGGCAGCGAGCAGTGCGCCTTCGAAGCCACCTCGTTGATCAAGGAGGAGCAGAGCTACAGCATGGATGAAACTGCTGTGTGGATGGAGGCAACAGTGGGCATTGTGATGCGATATTTCTGGCCGTATACCTACTCAGTGTCCAGCCAGTAAGGTTAGACGACGCTGGTATTGTGCTAATGCCGCGTTAGAAGTTTCTTACCATTCGCTCCCATCATCATTGAACTACAAAACTAACATGTTACTTTGGGCGTGAAGAGCTGTCATTCTCGTCTACAAAATGGACTTTTTTCGTCGCCTCTGCTGTCCCTATTGCTTTTTGCTTTTTATTTTTGTCGTTCGCAGCACACCGGTCAGAAAGAGGTGGCCATCAAAACCGGTGGCAAGGAAAAGTTGCGGATCACTGCTGTGCTTGCAGCAAACATGAAGGGCGGCAAACTCCCGCCGCTGCTCATCTTCAAGGGTAAGCCCACGGCGCCGGGGAGCCCCCGCTGCAAACAGCGTCGAACGAGAGTTTAAGGTGGGCAAGGAGAAGAAGGGGGTAGCATACCCTTAGAGCGTTGTGTACGCCGTGGACGACAAGGCGTGACTCACGCAGCGCGTCTTCAGGGATGTTTGGCTCCCCCGAGTCTGGAACCGGCGCGCGGGTCGTGAGGGGGTCCTGGGCAACTATCGTCCGCCGGACACGCTGCTATTGTGGGACGATTACACCGTGCACAAGACAGCCCTGTGCAAGGAAGCGATAGAAAAGTCCAACACAAAGCTGTTTTTCGTCCCCGGAGGCCTAACGCCCAAGATCCAGCCTTGCGATGGACTCAATAACCAACTCTACAAGTCCAACATGTCCAGGCTGTACGACGACCACATGGCCTCCACCGACGCCGTGCGCAACGACCGCGGCTACCCGGAGCCCCCATCGAGGGGATTGCTCGCGCAGTGGGTGAAGAAAGCGTGGGATAAAGTGGACCCTGGGGCATCCGTTCGAGCTGGAGGAAGGCTGGCATGACCCTTGCCTTCGATGGGTATGAAGACGCCAACAAGGAGCTCAACTCCGACGCCCAAGGGAAACCACTTGGTGCAGACGGCGACTCGGCCGCTGCCGGCGTGGAGGAGGCTGGCCCATCGGAGGAGGTGAAGATGATGGCAGACTTCTCGGAGGTGTTGGAAATCAACGACGATGACAGCACGGGAGATGGCGAAGGCATCGATGACCCGTAGGTTGACGTCATGGCAGACTTGCCGGGGGCGTTGTTTGAATAGACTTGAGTGTCTTGTCTGGTATCTACCTACCGTAGTTGCATGCCATGGTCAAGTCAACCAAAGCTGCGATTCCAGCCAATTTGTCCGGTGTTTCATATGTTTCGGTAGTCGCTTGTCCTCTTTGGATGTAGTTTTCAGCTTTGGTTGATATGTAGCCCCAGCTTGAGTGGTGAACGCAAGTCTTGCAAGTCGTTGCGTCGTCCAGGTACCTGTGTGCTGTCGCTTTGTCGCACACAACACCGACAAAACCGCTATGAGGCGTCGGTACTGCGTCTTCGTTGTGTATGCGAAGAATTTCCAAAGGATACTGCGACAATGCACGTCGGAAAGCATGTACGTGATGGAGTGGAGTGAGCCACCCTAGCTATCACACCAAACACCCCTTCACAACCTTTGTAGGTGGGTGCCTCCTGTGAGCTGCATCACTCGGGTGACATTATTCACATCCCCGTAGGTAGGGTCCTGTGAGCGCACTGCAACCACCCGGGCGACATTATCACACCCCCGGCAGGCCGGGTCCTGCGGGCGCGCTTCATCACACGGGTTTAGTTATCACACCCGATTGTACACCCCTTGTAAGCCGGGTCCTGTGAGCGCGCTTCATCACACGGGCGACGGTATCACACCCCATTGTTATCACACACCCTGTTGGTGGGGCTCTGTGAGTGCACTTGAACACACGGGTGACCAAGATATCACACCCCCTACAGGATACCACACCCGTGTGACAACTTTTGTCCCCCTGAAAATGTTATCACACGGGTGTGGTATCTTATGCAACCTACGGAATATGGTTGTGATGATATTGCCACATTGCCACACAACGCCATGGAGCAGCGAATCTGACTTCACTGCTCTCTGTTCCATGTTCCCAACTTTTCGTCAAGGGGAGGTACGAATAAACCTTGCCGTAAGGGTTCCGTAGGGTTGAATCGAACGAACGGGTCGTCTGATGTAACAGCCAGAAAACTCCTCAACGTAGATTTCTAAACAACTTCCGACGCCCTCGGAACATTCCAAGCGGGCTTTCGAACGAACACAAATGCACCGCCTAATGTCCTTTGAACAGGAAAGGAAAGACTGAAGGAGAAGTTGTGGTAATCACAGTCGCAACTAAACCAGCTGGTCCATGTCTTTTATGTGATGTTTTTTCGATATTCGTGCCTTGTACGTCCACGTGTGTTAACCTACACCACAAATGTGGTATGGTACCAAATTACACCTCCGCCATTGAGGAGACAAAGACCAAACGTTCGACTGCTACAAGTATATCTCCAACGGTTCGATATATCTCCAATGGGTGAACGCTAGTATTTGTCATCGTACGCTACGTATACACAAAGCCGCACCAACAACAGCAGCAAAACTAGTAAATAGTGCACGCCGAGCACCGCCCTTGCTTCGGGTATATATAATAGAACCATCAAAGGCAAAAATCCACCGTATCATAGATGCGCTGCGGAACACAGCAAAATACAGGAAAAACCCGCACTTCAAAGAACTTGGCAATCACAAGAAGTTGATAATTATCCTCCAACACTCAAAATCTCAGCGCCTGTACACCATTCGCGAGCTCGCTTGAAACCCTGCACTTCATAAACTTCTTCTACTTCCAGCCACTTCGTACTTCTATATGAATTGTAGCGGTCATATGCACTTCCCACAAGAAGCACCAAGCACCCTAGCCTCAGCCAAGAAAACCAGACGTTCTCAAGTGCGCGCGCTCACTGCTGTAGTGCAAGCCGGCAACGATTGTCTCACCTTGCTGAACCACAGCGGATAGTCTGCCGGAGTCGTGAAGAGCGGGAGTGCCCTCTCCGGATCGCCGCTGCCCAAGCACGGGGCGTCTCCGCACACCATCACCTGCTCTCCCTTGCCCACGCGAGCAATCACCTTCGACGGTGCGCAAGGCAGCAGCAGCAGCAGCAGTGTTGTACAACACCAGTCACGTGACATTAGCAGCAACGCCTCTGTGCCAAGTTCTACAATAGCACTCTCTAGTTGCCCGCACTTGGGAACTTGGCCAGTTGCAAATCGTTATGCTCTACATTGTATCAACCCATCAGCTACAACCCGTATGAACTTGAGCACCATTTGTGAGCCAAACTCAAGGTCCCTAGGCTGAAACTTACGTAGCCCATGAGAGACAACACGAAACACGACCTAGGCCAAAAATTGATGCTTAACCAAACTATAAGTCTATTTCGCTACTAGGTATCTTTATGTTGGTAGCGAGTCTCGAGACGGGTGGGTGTAGACCAGTTTTCGAGCGGGGGGAGTGACCGGACTTGTGCTACCATAAATACTCTCATTGTGTTCGAAGAGAACACCAGACACTATTGCTACTCACTATTCGAATTTGTGTTGGAAGCTTTTGTTTCGGGGAATTGCAGCTAAATATACTCTAACTCATATCGCTAAATGCTGCTTGCTCCGCCAATACCACAGGCAGTCCTGCTCTAGTTCAGAATTTATCGCGGCTTTCCTCTAACTGCTCTCGATCCTTTGCGTCTCACACGCACGGGGCGTGTATGTGCAAGGGGGATTTGATTCAAAAATAGCCACAATATTCAGCAGCATGCAATCCATGCACCACCAATTAATTAACCGATCCCAACCAAGTGGTGCTCTTACCGTAAGACAACTAACGGGCGGCCGGTTTTGGTGGTGAGCAAGAAGGTGTTCCGATATGCATGCAGCTGCTGTCTTTGTTCTGAGAGAAGACGGCACGGCTGCTGTCCTGTAGTCCCATGTTCAGGGTTTACCACAGCAGTCGCACATCCGGCACGACAATATATCACGACCCACAACAATCAACGTTCAGCGTAGAGGAAGCCGCCGGGTAGTGGGGACCACAACGAACACTTGCTGCGTTTGAACGTGAGAGAGTGCTGGGCGGTAGTTGTGCCAACGGAGAGAGGATGGCCTTTTCGGACGCGAGTCGGTGCCGATCCACCCGCTCCACACTCTCCTAAGTATTTTCTTGACCGTTTGCCCCATAACATACACCCGAAAATACCATAGAAGAATGGACACTCTTCAGCAACGCACCGCCGCCGGTGAAGGTACAGAAGACCCAAGGCAAGATGCCACTAACACAGTGGAAATCGACGATAAATGGTAATCTTGTACTCAGTAATACTTTCACACCCTGTACAACTGCAACTGGCAACTACAACTTTAGTTGTGCAGGGCAGCAACTACCCAATAGTTGTCTGCGGACAACTAGTTGCGCAGCTTTTCCAAACAGTAGTTGTCTGCAGGCAGCTAGTGGCGCAGCTTGTTCAAGAAATAGTTGTCTGCCAGACAACTGACAACTAAAGTAGTTGTACAGGGTGTGAATACTTTCGCGAGTCTCGTGTAAGGAGTCGTTTTTCGCGGAGAAAAAACGATTCTCGTATGTATACATATGCTACTTCAAGATGCATAGGATTTATCAAACGTGGTTTGTCCGACTCCCTTTCGTGTTTCGGTGGGTACTGACTGTACTGTAGTGTTGCTGAACCCGAGGGAGAGACAAGTCTTGCGCAATCCCCCTACAATGCATGGATCAAAGGCAGCCACTGCTCCAAGTATACGTGGACCTTGAGGAAAAGAAAGTCCGAACACTTTTCGCGGAAAAAAAAAAACGGTTGGATATAGACTAATAATTTTGAACTTGTGGTCGTGGTGAGGGGGAGGTGGTGGCTCTCGTTGAATGCAGGCGACAGGTGTGCTCGAAGGTCAAGCCACACACACCGCTCTGTGCTTAGTCGTGCACCGCGGATGAGGGGATTCAGTTTAACCCCGCCCACATCTCCAGGGCTCTCTCTAGTGTGGCGCCACATCCGCCAATGGATAATCCTTTACTCCCTTCAAAAATCGTATGCAAAGATGCGTAACAAGAACAGCGGCGTACGCCCTCGGAGCCAAAAACTGGTTCGAGAAGACACTCGCCGAAAACGCAGCAGCAGTGAGTGTGAATGAAGACGGTGTGTGTGTGTGTGCGCGCGCAAGGGGCGACCTGTCATGGGCAACTCTACTGCCACACCAACGGGTTAAAGGAGCAGCTAATTTGTTTCGGGAGACCCCGTGCGCGGACGCGGACGCGGCCTAAACCGCACCCGCACCCGCCCACGGAGAGAGAGCGGTGAAGACCACGAGTTACAGAAGACAACCTCCCGTGATCTCTCTCTTGACGCGTCAAAAGCATTCTACTGCTGTGCCCCGCCACTCCAACAAAGGCTAGCCGAAATAGCACGTGGGTCAAAGCACTATGGCGGGAGATGACGTTTGACCAAAAAAAGGTTGTCGGTTTGGCGGGGTGTTGAAGAACAAGTAATCTGTTATTTTTGGAAGCCTGTGCTGCATGCAACGTGTGCACGACAACAATCGTCTGCGTTTCGACTCACCCTGAAGGAAAGAGCTCCCTTGCCGGAGACAGCCATAGCCTGGGTCTTCCCTGTCGATCCGCACGCGTACTTCGCCTCGTGCCTCTCTCTCGTTAACCCCGCTTCCCCCCTGGCCACACCCTTTGCGCCACACCCCTCTCTCGCTTGTCCGCCAAAAGATCGATCTTCGTGGTATCAAGTTGAAGCAAAAAACTATGGTGTTAGATGGTGCGATAATCCTTTCTTCGCTACCCCTCCCCACTGAAGCACCACCCGCCTCCTGTCTTAAGCACGAAGTCCCTCTTGGCAAAAAACAGCCGGTCCACCCCAGTGCTTCCACCTGTTTTCTTCACTCAACCACCCGCCGGCGTCTATCTTTGTGCTATGGGGGGAGGGGGAGGCTGTGGTGTGTGTGCTGCGGGGGCTCCGTGGATAGGATTTTGTTTTGAAACGTGCCAACGTGCCCCTCAAGGGCCACTTGTGCGTCACAACTTGAAGCGCGGGTACACGCGGCGCAACCAGCTCTAAATAGCTGCGAGTCTCCGGTTTCTCCAAGCTGCTGCATGCATAGCTGCGAGGCTAAAGGGTCCATAAAAAAATATCCACCCTGCCTTCGAGACCTTTACTCCAGCGCACCACCAGGTGCCACCGAAGCTGTGGACGAGCACCTTCATCGCTCATCAAACTCGGTTACGGTGAAGGTCAGTCTTTGTGTGTTCCTTTGAGCCGGCTCTCTGTCGTCTATCACATTCCTGGATGAAGGATGAAGTGAGAGCACATTCCTGGCCCTCGAAAAAGCCCCTCCACAACAGCAGCAGTCTACCCAATCCATAGTCCCACGACCTGCTTCAAATGCATGGGAACAGACAAAATCAAGAACGTGTAGGGAAGGGGGCTCGAGGTCTGCAGCGGTATCATGCCAACACATCAATCTTGCAGACGCACACGAACTCACGTGCAAGGTGCAGCAGCCTGTAGACACGTCCAGTTTCTTCTGTTGTTACCGTTTCCGTATTTGAACAGGATAATAGCTTAGGAGGGTTCTTAGGAGGGTTCTTAACGAGATTTGTTCTGTTGGAATATGCCGACATGCGCCCTACTTTTTCGGAAAATGCCGATTTCTTGTCGGAAAATGCTGAAAATGAAGCGTCGGAATTTTTCGGGCGCCGCTTCATTTTCGGCATTTTCCGAAGAGAAACTCCGAAATGACTCCGAAATGGGAGCACTCGAGTTGCACTGCAGTCGCCAGCACGCTGAGCACCCTCTCGCACTCCAGATCTCGGGGACAGTCCCCAGGTGGCTTGCTTGTGTCGCCTGTAAGCTTGTAGACCATGGATGGTCACGGAAAGCGCTGTGGATCTGCAGATTTCGCGGAGCAAAGGCGGCGAAAGCGTCGCAGCCTGGAGATGAACCCGCTTTCCGTGATGCGGGCGATGGCTGCTGCGGTGGTTGTCGTGGTAGCAACCACGACAGCAGTAGCGCACGTCATGGATCAACCTGCTATTCGGAGGCCGGTCTACGAGCCGCAGCGCCTGGACTGGGACGAGCATGCGGATGATCTGGAGGAGCGTGATTGCTTCAAGCGCATGTACCGGATGCCGAGGCACGCTTTCGAAAAACTCGCCGAGTTGCTCGCTCCTCTCCTCACGGTCAACAAGCACTTCGCTGGTGAGTGCTGTACAGCCAGCGGAAGGGTTAGGGAGCGGGTCCATGTATTTCACATACTCATGCGATCTCGAGGGCCGGGTATTTGACGGGGGCAAGGAAATCGCTGGGTTGTATGTAGGTCGTTGAGCCTGTGGGAGAGCTGAACTTGAAAACAGCAACACCTCTATCCCTCTGTTGAATTCTTCGACAGAAAGGACAACGGCCGCCACCAAACACAGCAGCAGTTCCACAACAACATGTCTCTCTCGCGGGGTACGGCCTTCGCTCGGACTTGATTGTAGGTTTGTCACGTGCCTAGGGGGCAGCGTGTTCCAAGTGGGTAGAGTTAGGGTTAGGGCTATGCGCGTCCTGGCCTGTCGAAACGAAGATCGCATGTGAAAATAGAGACACATGTTTTCCGTGGGATCCAAGCACCAGCGAAAATCGCCGTTTTCGGGCGGCTACTGCGCGCCGGACACAGAGTGGCCGAAGGACACTTCCGACGCTTCATACGTTGGGCTAACGTTTGCATTACCACCATGTTCGGCTGGTGCCTTCTCGTGTCCGCCATGTACCTGGTGTCGTTGTCGGCAGAACTACGCACCCTCAACGGAGCTATTTCTGTTCAGATACGGTTGGCAGTCGCTTTACGGATCCTCGCAGGAGCCTCATATCTCGACGTGGCGGTGATGTTCGGTTTGGGTCTTCCCACGGTGTACGCGACCCTGTGGATGGTTATCGACGCGATCAACAGCACACCAGAGGTCGGGGCGTTTTTCTTTCCGCAGACGGAGTTTGACTGCAGAGGACACGCTGCACGATTCAAGGTGAGCCTGCTGTTGTTGGGGTTCTTGGGGCTTTGACACTAACATCTGCCCTCTGCCCAGTGTACACCTGCTCCACCGATGAGGAGAATTTGTTGGTCCCACATGATTTTGGTTGCGCTAGTTAAGCAGCGAACGATCCCCCCCCCCTAGTTTAGGTTTGTGTGGCACCCATGGCGGGTAGTAGCGATGACATGAAACTACAGGAAATCGATGGGGCCCTTGCGGTCGCGAGGTGGTGATATTTCACGAAGAGCCCACCTTATTAGTGGTGCAGGTCGGACTAGGCTTCGAGGCCAGCGACTCAGAACCGACCATTTGCCGCGAGAACAACTCGCAAGAGCCTCAACACGGTACCCTTACGTCGCGTTGCTGGTGTTGTCAAAGATGAGAGCATGATGGCAAGGGATGTATCTCTTTTTCCTGGTTTTGAACGCATGAGCCTGTCTTCTTGTTCCTTGTCCTCTCCCTCGGTGTACATCGCAGCGCAAAAGTACGAACGGCATCTTCTCCTTCTGTGTTGCGTGCGTCGATGGCTTGTTCGTGAAGACCCTCGCACCCTCTCCGAAGGACACCGCAAACGTCATCGCCTACTACTCGGGGCAGAAATGTGCCTACGGCATCAACGTGCAAGCGATGTGCACCGCTGACTACCGGTTCTGCAGTATGTCCGCTATCACCCCTGGCGCGACGAACGACTGGGCGGCGTGGTTGCGCTCCAAACTTTCTCGTGCCGTCAACCGTCTCCCGAAGGGGTTCTACGTTTTGGGTGATGCCGCCTACCCCTTGAGCGAGCAGTTGCTCACGCCGTACCCGGGCAAGAACCTGCCGCTCGGCGAGGATTCGTTCAACTTCCATCTCAGCCAGCTTCGCGTCAAGATCGAGCAGAGCTTCGGCATTCTTGTTGGGACTTGGGGGATTCTTTGGCGCCCGCTGAAGGTTGACTTCGCCGGGCGCACCGACCTCATCACCGCCCTCTTCCGCCTTCACAACTTTTTGCGGGATGAACAGGTGACACCTGTCCACCTGTGCGACGAAGACGAGGAGTCCGGCCTTGGCCGCCCGGTGTTGTCCCGGCAAGGAACTCTACCCCCGGAGTGGCAGAGCGACTCGCCGAAGCCGTCGAGGAGCGGAGAGACTCCTACCCGAGCTGCGCTGCGCAACCTCCTGGTGGAGCT